CAAGCTGCCTCCCATGATTTGACGACTCGAACATTATCCACGTTGAAGTTGGCCGGATTCTTGGGGAGGACTGCCAGTACGGCCTCTGCAACTAGCGGAGCAAGGATATCTTCTGAGCCGGACTGTTTGCTTGCAATGACAGTTCTAACCGCTTTGCTCAACTCAGTCGTAGACCGTAGCTCCTTCAGTCTATCCACCTCGAGATCTAGAAAATTTTTTTTAAAAAAAAAAGAGATGTTAATGGAAACACCTCCCCAAAGTATGGTACCGCAAGTAGACAATCAAAGAGGAGAAAAACACACCATCCAAACATTTCAACGCAATTCCCTGCGCCTTCTCATACCCTAGCACAATATCGCTCGTCTTCAGCCCCATTCGTAGTAATTCCTCCGCCTTCTTCAGCAACTCTCCCGTGAGCACAATGACCAAATTAGTCGCATCGCCCATCTCTGCTTCCTGTTGCTGGCTGGCCATGACGACCAGTTTGGCGGCCGGATGTACAACCTCGAGCTCCCGTAGAATGGTGGCGGCATCGGAGGTCAGGATCAGCTTTTGTAGGTGGTTGATTACGATTTTGTTGCGACCGTTGGGGCCCAGCGATGTCTGTACAGTCTGCGCAATGGCACGGCATGCTTCGATATTACGGATGACGGCACCGTCTTCGGAGTCATGGCTGTGGGGTGAAGGGTTTGGTCAGTTATTGTGAGTGCATTGATAATAGCCTTGATATTGGTTGGTTTCAATATTCAGTGGCTTTGCTGGTTGTTCACGAGTAGAATATTTTATATGAATACGGAGAAAGTCAAATTTAAGGGCGGGAAGAAAGATATACAAAGTTACGCTGCGTGATGCGTGGTGCGTGGTGCGTGGGTGCGAAACGCCATTTATCATGTATCAGCGGGGAGAAGAGGGGTGTAAGTTTGATGCACATACCTGGAATAACCCTGCTTGAACAGCCCAGCATTTGGGGCGCTGGGGATCGACAACGACATAGCTGTAATGTATATGCAAATACGTGTCCCTCCTCTATCTGTGGTGAAGAGGAATTGAATGCGCTGTGATGTCGTCTGGTCTGCTTAACTTTTTGAAGCTTCTGTGGTTTGCCGAATTTGGTGAGCTCAGGTATGGGCGATGAGTTTGCCCTGTTTGCAGTGCAGTATCAATACAGTGAATATTACAATAATTACAATATCAAATACTCCATACTCCGTACAGCTCAGGAGAGTGTAGATGACTATTAACTTATTGTACACGTTGTAGCTACAGATACTTCATATGCAAAATACCCAAGGATAGTCCAGGTCATAAGCTATCCACACGCCTCTCTACCAAAAGGGTCTGAATGTCTGTCCAAAGCTCTCGGCTATAGTCAGACCTGTCAGCTAGGAGTCCAAAAGTTAAAAGATACCATTCACATCAAAATAACCTACCATATCGCCCTGTAAGTCCACATCCGCCATCATCATACGCAATATTTGCTTGCGGGAGCCTGGAACAGTAATGTCATCGTCAGCGAACGAAAGTCCCATGTGGACTCTTTCAGACTCTCTCAGTCCCTCCTAATGATGATGGGAAATCGAAAAATAAAACTCACAATTTCTGAATTGCTTCCATCCGTCTCCGGCTCTGCGAATAACTTCATCAGCTAACAATTCAAGCATTAAAAAACATCCTATCCACTAAACTCACCGAAGGATGCGTCGACAACAACTGGGGAGGCGCTGCTTTCTCAGCCTGGTGCATCCGGCTCCATCTATAGTTTAAAAAAGAAAGGGACCTATTAACAAACGTCATAAAAAAAAAAAAGTTGGGGTGCGTGGACCCTTTTTTCAGAGGGGGAGGAGGGGCGTACAATCCAGCGGCAGCTTCGGGTTTAAAACAGCTCTTTGCCATCATCACTGTCATGGGACCATGGTTAGAAAACCAGTCACACCACATAATATTCTTATAAAGGTGAGATACGGAACATACTGAGGCCAATTTCATCCGCCTCCGACTATGCAATATCATAAGACCACCCGTTAGCACACGGAACACATATAAACATCCTCTCATTCACAACATAAACACGCACTAACCTCCTGCGCCCTTGAATTCGGCAAGGCAAGCATCAGATTTAAAATCATTGACGACAAATTTTGCGACACGTCAAATAGCATTGATGCTGCCAGTGCCGTAACAATCACTATGATGTTGGAACTCATGCGTTGGGCTGGGTGATGGGGGAGGACATGTGCGATCTCATGACCCAGGACTGCAGGGAGGCCGTCCCTATCTGGGCAGATTGGTAGAATCCCGGTGAACACAAAGACGTTTCCACTGGGGGGGGGGGGGGGGGAATAGATATAAATCAGTACAGGGTTTCTTGGTATACTATCATAGTATAAATATAGATATAAATACATACCCCGGCAACACAAACGCATTCATCTCAGGCGAGTTGATAACATGCACCTTCCACTTCAGGTTCTTAAGCATCGCGTCTTCTTCACCCAGCGGCGGTTGGCCCGAGAGGATTAATTTGCGGAAAACATCATCG